TTTCATCCCAAACCAGTCCATCTCACTGAAATGCCACTCCTGAAAACAAGCTAGCTTCTTGAGCAAGCCACTAAGATTTTTTTTCTTTACAACAAAAAGAGCTCAGATAATGAAGATACGGAGCTCTGCATTTAATGATAGGCTTGTTTTTATCAGTTCAACCTCTTTCTTCATTTCAATATCTTTACAGAAATATGCTATAATGTTTTGGCATGTTCTGCAGTATGCCTTTAAGTATGTCTTTATGGGCATAAAGTGATCATATTTTGCTTTATTATCCCACTGATTAAATTCAGCAAACAAAACATGAAACAACTGCAGATAATCACAACTGTTTCAATTTTATTGAAGATTTTTTAGACACTTTTCCTGGAAGGATATATAGTTTTTTATAATAACAGTTGCGTTTTGTTGTGTTGTTTTTGGTGTGTATCTTATGCACATCTGTCCAATCTTCCTGGAATCTATTAAACCTGAGGGAATACTAACACACCAGGATTCTCAACTTCAGCATGACTTTCTCCTGCATCATTGCCCAGATTTCCTTTGCAGTAAGGGAGTGACTGAAAAGATCACCAACTATGTGACTTGAGTATATGCAACTCAATAGTTTCACAGCATTTGCTTGCTTTTACATAAAGCAGCTTTTTAAGTGTCACCAGAGTGAGCTACACTAGTCATTGTTATATGCTTTTAAACAATTAGGTACTTGTTTCATTGCTAGCACTTGATATTTGATCTTCTTGTTTGTCTTTTTAAAATCACAATTGAATATTGTACATTATTTCTAGACCTCTAATGCAGGATCCCTACAAGGGGGATTGCTATGTTCATATTACATCAGTTACATCATAAAAACACTACATGCTCAGCTACACCTTCTTTAGGAAATTTAAAAGCACAGCACACAAAAGCTGTTTTTCTGACACTTGCTGGACACCGCTTTCCCACACAAGACCCCAAACACAGCTCTCAATCCAGGGAGCATCTGTTGACATCAACAGAACTAATTCTCAGTTTCCCATTTCTGCAAGACATTAGTTACAAGCTTCCTTCAGAGAATAGGGATAGCAACAATTTGTTGTGGAGCACCAAGCAACAAAGGCTGCTGCTGAAGGAGCGTGCAGGCTCCGAGCTGACAGAACAAGTATCAACAGTATTTGCTTATTCTGGCACTCAGGTAGAAAGGAAGAACCTGACAACCCTGCGGTAGTGAAAAATGACTCTCCAGCATGGAATTCATAATGAAAACACTGTCTGGCACCTCCAGTGTGTGGGAGAGCATTTCATGCTCTGTCAGGAACTTAATGCAGTAACACTGAAAATTACTGATAGAAAGGTGAATGAGTGGGAATGGGTGAACACCGTAGAACTCCAAGAAAAGCAAGCTATATATAGTTTTTAAAAGCACAATTTAAAGAATCTTCCTACTCCTGTGTAATGTAGCCTCTTTTTCAACCAGTCTAAAAATAAGAAACTGTGCTGTAACATTTAAAACAGAAGAAAACTCTAATCTTGTAACAGCTAATATCAATATTCATACAGAATGTACATATTAAAAACACATGAGGTTACCTGCTTCCATTTCCTAGTCTATTCTTTAGCTATTTACATGTTGCTACTTCAGTTTCACCTCTGATTCCCATCTACTCCACATACACCCTTCTTTTTCTCTAATCAGTGAGAGATCAAAGTCTCTGAAAAGTGGAGCACAAAGTTCAAGTCAAATTTTCACATGCTATGTCAAAGCATCTGGAAACAGCTCATTTACCTCTAACTACCAAGTGCAAGTTTCACCATTACAACATTTTGTAATCAGTATTTCAAAAGGCTGTTAAAAGTCTTATGACTATATTGGCAGGATACAGCTGCTACTTCTACAATGTTCTGGGTTTGTCTGCCATTTTCTTTGAAGAGTTGAAAAGTATCAGAATATTTCAAAAAAATACAGTTGGTTGCCCTCACCAGGTCTCTCACCTTATTTTTCCCCTTCAACCTTACTTCCTTGAAGGTATATTGTTCATTTACAGCTGATACAGTCCTATTGTTCCCTCCACTAGCATTTTTAAATATTCACTGAAGTCTGTCATACTAAACATCCCATCTTAAGATAACAAATTAAATAGTAATTTCTTTGTCAACTAAACTGAAGCATTTAAAAGTCCAAGATAAGGGTTACAGAGCCACTTCAGCAACAGTTTATTTACATCTTACCAGTACTAAGACATCTGAAGACAGCTTCGAGTATATTCAAATGCTTAAAAGGTAATGCACACACTCATCACATCATCCACTTCAGCAAAAGTTTAGAAAACAATGTTTTAAAATCATACTCCCCACTTTGTTTGCACCTGTAATCATTTTCAGGCCATTCATATTTTGCACACATTTAGAGAGAGCAGTTCAAAGTACTACTTTAGAAATGGCAGGATTGCTTGCTTGCAGTAGCAGGAAATATCTACAGCACTATTATTTTTTTGGCTTTTTGCATACATACAACTTTAGCTCAAGGAAGCTGGACATGTACAACTGTATTGCAGTTGCTATTCAGAGGAAAATATAATGAAGGAGAAAATTCAAGGCAAAGTGAAAAGCAAAGAACAATTTGGAAAATATACACTTTCCTATTCTCACCATTGTTACTAACAATCAGAATTTCCAAAGTAGTAAGTACATTATTGGATATGGAATTGAAATCTCACACCACTTCAAGATATTTTATGCTAGCTGTACAAACAATACACTTAAAGATACACAAATAACTTAGCATACCTTTTCTTTACTTGCAATTCTATTAATTTAATACAGTTGCCATTTTTCCTTCCACTTCCATAGATGGCCTGAAGCTCACAGTTTCTACACAAGCACCCAACAGGAACAGTTGAGCAGCAGAGCCATCAGGCACCTAAAAGCTGCCAACACAGCCACTGCAAGAGCTGCACAGCCCTGTCCAACCCATCAGAGCCATCAGGCACCTAAAAGCTGCCAACACAGCCACTGCAAGGGCTGCACAGCCCTGTCCAACCCATCAGAGCCATCAGGCACCTAAAAGCTGCCAGCACAGCCACTGCAAGAGCTGCACAGCCCTGTCCAACCCATCAGAGCCATCAGGTACCTAAAAGCTGCCAGCACAGCCACTGCAAGAGCTGCACAGCCCTGTGCAACTCAGCATCTCCACCTCTGCATGAGCAGCTGCTCCCACGCACAGAGCTCATCTCATGAGAGAACAATCTCACACAGCAGCACCTCTCAAATTTGTCACTGCAGTTTCACCTGATGGCTTTCCAAGAAAAGTGACCTAGACTAGAGAAGTCGTTGCTTGGATGCACTAAAACTGGAAAACAAGTTCCAGGGATAATTAGTCTATTTGTGCTATATGGCAGCCGCAAACAGTAAAAAATCCATGTTTCTACATTCAAATTGACTTTGGGAGGTACAATTAAATACTAGGTAACATATGGATAGAATACAGGGGTTTTTTTAACCAGTTATTCTACTTACATAAAATCATATTCCAAAATAAATTCTGTTAAAATTACATATCAAGGGTACCAGAAACATTTTTGAGTTAAATACACCATTAATTCAGAAACTGTTTCTGCTGGGTATTCAATGATGCAGCGAGAGTAATTTGCACTGTAAAATCTTTTTTAAAAACTAGACTGTATTAAAAATAGGATATCTTTACGTGGCACAAAATGAAAAACTTTCAGCAAGCAATTATAACATGAAATATGAAAAAAATTCCTTAGGCAAAGGTATCAAATATTTGAATCAAGCATTAGATATCTGACTTAAATACCTTAAATAGGACATTGCTAGCACACACAAAAAAAGCCAACTACTTTAAATTCCTTCGCTACTTGCACAATCAAAACAAAAACAAATGTTATTTTTCATTAGCCAAATTTGTACAAAAGGACCATATTTTAACAAAAAGCTGTATCTTAAATATTATTTATGAGGACAAGATGTTCAGCAAAAGTGAAGAACAGGTGGAATTACCAGGTTATCTAATTTATTGCTCGAAGAACTTAAAACTAAGACAAAAGATTGAGAAAAATAATTAGATATTTTGGCTAATGATGATCACTGAGCCATTTCAAACAATCATATTGCAGCCCTGATTCATTCTTGCACTATTACATCATCTTTACCTCTATGACTTCTTATAAAAAGGCCAGTGCATAAAAATCAGATAGTAAAATTATGATAACTTTAAAAAGCAATAATGCTTAAGATAACACTAAATTTGAATAAATAACTATTTTTAGTGCTACTTCAGGTAATTTTTAGACATTTTCCTGTGAAATTAGGGTAATGATACTATGACTCAAAAGCAGAAACTGAAGTTGAACTAAACATATTGGCAATGACAGATCAAACAGATATGTAGGAGGCTGAACAACAGACTGGAAAAAGCTTTACATGTAGCATAAGTAGTCAGGCTTACAGAATATACTGTAAATATACTGTGTAATTTAGAATACACATTAACCTATCATAGCTGTGTCTGAGCTTTACAGCAGGTTAGGAAAATACAACTGTCAAAAAATAATTGTACACGGGCAAGTTAAGTGGGTGATTTTCAAGCACCTGGACTACAGAAACATGTTCTGTGCCATATGGGTTCACGATGTACAGGTCTGGAGTTTCCGAATCCACATGACTTATGCCCGAGTGATTTCACCCGACAGCACTCACCCACAGTTTTGTTATCTTCCATTTCATTTCCTTTTAACTCAGCATCTTTCAAACCATTTATCTTGGCTTATCACATGCTCAGAACATTCCTGCCAAGTATTTTTCTCCGCCCTTTATTATCCCCTCCAATACAAACCTACTTTTTCTGCTGTCTTAATTCTTCCCCACTAGTTTTTCATAAAAAACGCTCATCCATTAACCACAACTTCTATATCACAGCTACCAAAAAAAGTCTTTTCTGTGCAAGCAGCAGAAAACACAGGTATTACTTGAGATACAATCAAGAGCATCCTTACCTTTCCAAAATCTCTCACGTCAAACAAATCAAATGCTTCAAAAAGTTCACTTTTCTTCATTCCAAAGATTTCACAACATGCTGAAAGAAAAGTCCTTATATTCTTCAAGCAGAGAAACTAGAGGAAAGAAAACAGAAATGCTAAGTGTCAAGTGTGTAGATTAGCAATACATGTGCTCATAAACACACAATATAATTAACTAATACAATTAGTTCTAAGTAAGCACTTCCATTATGCTGTGATCCTCCACTGGTCCTAATTCAGCCATAAACCTTCTCTTCAGACTAAAAGCATTAACCAAATTTTGAGTAGATATTTTGTGAACAGGAACCATTTGCTCTCTTTTTACATAAACAAAAAGATGTGAGAATGTGCTACTAGATACATAATAGTCAAAAGACAGACTTTTCGGGTCCCTACAGACAGCACAGAACAAAACAGATAAGTCACCCTAAAAAATTCCATTAATACGTGAAAGTTATTGTTCATGTATAAATCAATAATTTCATCTGTTAAATTCTAGCTTGAATGTTTAAGGAATATATGTGCACTGTTTTCACACACTAAAGACTTTATGAATACATATTCTCCATATGGCATACAGGAGTAGATGAAGCTTGCAGTTCAGTCATTTAAATTTACCTAGCAGAGATTTAAGATCATCAGATCACCTTGATTTCTGTACTGAATCAAAGGCTATTTCCCTTTAAGTTATCCACATACATCAATGATGATCTGAGTCTGAAAAAGAATAAAGCCTCTGCCACAATGTTCTCCTTAAAGAGCTTTTAATGTATTTTCCTGTGGATTATTTTACACCAGACCTTACCAGGCTAAAAGGCAGTAACTGTCAAGAGCATCAGTAACTTCAGAGGGACAGCTAAAAAGGGCAATATGCACTCTTGCTAACAATTAGCTCCATGAGGTACTAGCACCTTGTGAGGACATCTTCATAAAGATGCTGTTGTAGTCTTATGAGCCACAGTCAAAAAGCAAATACAATATTTATAAGCAGCAGCATTTCAAAGGACTTCACATCAAGCTTTGAATATGCATTTTTAAAGTACTGACTCAGCAACTCAATATTACAACAGTTCTGCATGTTTTAGTGGATCCATGAGGATCACTCATATTAGGATGGATTACAGAATTGCTCTATGTTACAGCTTCCTGTTTGGATCAAAGCAGTATTTTTGATCTTGAGTGTCACAGCTGTACCAATTCAACAGCCAGGCCTACTTCACATGTTATACAACTACCCAGTGAGACACAGGAACAGCAGAGCACCTGGCAGACCAGGCTTACAGCAAAGGCACACAAATGAAAGCACTGATCAATGAGAGATGCTACAAGAACAGACTGCTCCAGTCAATGGCTGCGAACATCAGAGTAGCCAACAAACTCATCACAAAGCATCACAAAAAACATCTCTGTGCAAACCAAAGCTGCCAGGAGAGCACCTGTGACTGACCAGGGCCTCACCAATAGTAAGGATTCCCAGCTGTGCAGGGTGGACCTGCAGCCTCCACCTTTTTCCCCCTTCCCAAAGAGCCTCTCCAGCAGGTACCTCCCAGCTCACATGGGGCAGTCATCACTGGCCTATGCACTGAGCTGCTCAAGGCCAACACTGCACTTATGCCAGACAACTTTTATGCCAAGTGGAATGTTAAGAACTAATCTAGCTTGCTTAGTCAATGTGGCAAGCTTATCTGGTTTTGCAACAATTATAATTTTGAAGTCAAAATTGCAAGGTTAGAAAGCCAACAAATGTTCCATATATGTACTTCCTCCTCCATCACACTGGCAGAAAGAGTCAGAAAATGAGCTGGTCTTTAAAATTAGCTTTAAAAACAAGATGGCATATACAAAGTTATTGTTTTCTGCTGTATTTTTTCCCAGATTTTTTATTATTTTTCTTAAAAGCTATCAATGGCCACTAGGTTTGTCCATGCACAATACTGATTCAACTTAAATACCCATCTATTTTCTTATGTCAAAATTCTCAAAACCACTGACAGATGCAATACTCGCTGGAAAATTCAGCTGTCTTTTTGAAACCTAAGTTTTGAGCTTGTATTAGTGTTAGTGCTCAAGTCTCCTAGTGCAAAGAAAGCTTACAGCTGCATTAAATTGTTTACCTCTAAAGGGAACAAAAAGTTAAGGGAGAGACAGGAGCTGTCATGGGTCTAAAATCTGACCTAGATTTGGTAAAGAGCATTTTAGTGAGTTGCATTTAGCTTCTTAATATAGGTAAAAGAACCATTTAAGGGATCAGCAGTTTTTCACAAACAAGATGTCCTCTCCCTTCAGCAAAATCTCTCCAACTATTCTTAACAGATATCTACAACAAAAGAAAGATGGCAGCATTTTTCCAACAAGATTTATTAGTTACTTCAATTTTTTTTTAATTTAGTGGCAATTTTCTGACATCAGCTTTTGTTTAAATTATTGTTACTATGATTTATATCTGAGCAGATTAGAAAGCATATTACAAGCTCACATGTTTTCATGGAACTGTTAAGGCACCTACACTCTAAGGAGTAAATTAAATTCTTTGGAATATTTTAACAGTAAGACCCAGGAAGAATCTAATCCCCTGTCTTTCTCTGCCCCTCTTTTTGTTTTTTAAATACTAATTCATTAGCATGTATCATTATATTAGGCAGGTTTGACCTAATTATGATCTAATATTCAACAGCCACATAACATGTAACAAGTATTATAGGCTCCAGAAATCAATGGTAAGCATCTGTCCGATCTGCCTGCACTTGAGATGGCAGCACATCATCACTGTGTGCTAGCCAGTGCCTTCAGCAGGAGAGAAATCCTGACATCACAGTCTAACCCCTTACAACTTCAAAGACTGCTTAGTGAGTTTGACTTGGCCCTATAACCATTCTATATCCATCAGTTTTCTCTTGTAAAATGAAAATGAAATTCTTATTACTATTAAGCTAAACACAGGAGCTACAAGGATAAAGCTGCAAAACTAAAACCAAAGAATGTTCATATTTAAATTAATTCATTTTGCAGTACAACACATGAAAAAGTCTTTAAAACCCCATGTTGTATGCTACTAATGTTTCAGAAAAGTTATTTTATTATATTACCCAGAAAACTTTCAGAATTATCTCCAAAACTTTATACTGCGATCTTCTAAAGAAGGAGTTTGCCTCTTTGAAAACAGGGGTTTTTATCACTGTGGTTATTGCATAAAGGGGTAAAGATCAGTAAGAGAAGCCTCCAAATTAAAAAAGAGCATACTGCTAAATCTAGGAAGGTCTATAAAAGACAACCTTCCTCACTGGCAGTAAGAAAAATGCACCATCAATCTGCAGTCTCTCATTAGTAAGTACAGTCCTCAGGATATTTGGAAACCTACTGCATTATTGTGTTTCTTTTTCAAAAGAAAACATAGCTCAGCACACTGCAAGGGAGATCATTAGAGCAGTTGGGTACCCAGTTTTCAGAGATGCGAGGAGAGCTAAGCCTCACTCAAAGTTTCTTCCACAGGAAACATTGCCTTCCAGTACAAGAACTGGTTTCTCTTCATTAAAAATAAAATAACTTAAAAACATTCCCTTGGAATAGTTAATGATGCATTTTTTTACACCTTTTTAAACTATATGGCTTAAACTACAGCAGTCCAGCATTCTCAGTACACAGATCAGTAAAAAAAAAGTTGACACTAGTGAGAAACACAGCTTCTTTCTTGCTTCTCCACAGACATGCTATGAGAGGAGACTATATCCAGCACCAGAGACAGATGGACAGAAATCACAACCCATCCCCATTCTGTGATTCTGTGACAGGGGCTCAGGAGCCTGAAAACACTTTTCAGTATTAACAGCTATAGATTATGAAGACTTTTCCAAAGTATCCTTATGTTTCACTACTGCAAACCCATTATGCAGCCATTTTCTGGGCTGCTGAAATGGTGTAACTCCTGTGATAATCCACTATGGGTTTATGGAATAGGTTCTAGTGGCTTCTGGTCTGTTCTGCACTGAACTTAATTTGCAAGAGGCACTAACTATCACAACATTTATTAAAATGACAAGTTTGAAAAAAAAAATACATCTACCACCTTAATAATGCAGGTATGATTTATATAATTTGGATTGTATTTGTCTGAACATTAAACACAAGACAGTGGGCAAATCAAATTATACAAGGTCCCACAAAAATAGTCCACTGTTGTCTCCCACAATATTTGCCACTTCACACAAAAACATTTATTTGAGGCTTTTTCTACATATTGTTATGTGCACTGACAGAAATGCATAGAAATATTTTACAAAGGGTACTGAATAGAAATTACTAATTAGATACTAAAAGCACAGGCAGGGTTGAAGCTGCCCACAGGGAAGAAGGATTTCTCAAACTAGACCTTTATTGAAGTGAAAGATGAAACACAAAAGAAAAAGAGGGGGGAAATCATATAACCTCTATTCCCATAATCTAAGAGGTATTTCTCAAAAAATATATTTTGGCACTGAAGTACTTCAATGGAATCAAGGTCTGTTTGATACAGACCATAATATTCAGTATCTAGATGTATCCTTTGTACTAAAAGCACTTCTTTAGGCATTCAGAAACCAACACAAAGAGCTCTGAAGATCAAATTGTGCCACAAGACATTTAATGAAATTCCAACAGAGCAACACCAGTCAGGCAAGTGAAAACTGAAAGGCCAAAAAATGACAAGTACTCAGGAAAGACAAAGTTCTAATTCACTTTTTTTCTTATTTTAATTACCAATAGTGGGACAGGGAAAAAAAGCTGTTTGTATTTGTTTCAACTTCCACCTCCTTTTTATTATGATGATTGAGTCACAAGCACAGATATTTAGTCACAAGCCTGGGAAGCTGGCAGTTCCCTTGTGTCTGGATCACACATCCACACTAGGAATATACTGAAACCTCAGTTATCTAAGGCAGTCTAAACAGATGCTAGGCTATACAGGGCATTAAAATCAGACAAGATCACTGTCACTCATTGTCAGGAAAGGTGTTGTTTTCCCCCCACTGTGATTCACTGTTGCTGACATGGAATACCCATCCCTTCATCACTACACTTCACTGGCTTTTCTGCATGCTGTGATCCCAGCCCCACAG